GCTACTTATCATTACAAAGTTGGCTTGTAGATCTGCTCATGTTATTAGGTCCAGGAAACAAGAGTAGCAAGAAAATCTCAATGCACATGCACAACATCTAAAACGCAACAAACAAAAGCTTCATGAGAAACTAAGATACCATAACATTTGGCATGCCATAAGGGTAAATACAAAAGAATAATCACTAGTTAGATAGAGAAGTTTGTCACACCTCCTTTTTTACACTACACCCCGTAAAGGGATATATAAGGGAGTTTTTTCCAATTTAAAGTAACAATCGAAACGGGATTATTTATTAAATTCAGAGTCGTCACTTGGGAGATTTATGGTGTCCCAAGTCACCGGTTGAATCCCGAATCGAGGAAAAGCTTGACTCTGTTTAACAGTTCGCGAACCAGAAATCCGAGTAATGAATTCTGTTAACCCGGGAGAAGGTGTTAGGCATTCCCGAGTTCCGTGGTTCTAGCACGGTTGCTCAACTGTTATATTCGGCTTAATTATCTGATTTTAAACAATTATGAACCTATGTGTAAATTTTTGTTTTGACCGCTTTTATTCATTTTTAAAGAAAATTGCAACGTTATTAAAACACGTTTCGAACCACGTCACATAAATGCACCTGTGGTTTTTAACATATTTTAACATCGTTGAGACTTGGATTTGGGTAACATAAATGTGCACCCGAGTTTAGGAAAGTAGATTATTAAATACGCGCCTAAAGCAACTACGCATTTGCACTGTGCGAGGGCCATGGAATTTCGCTAAATGGCACGCCTCGGTTTCTAAAGAGCAAATACATTAATTAAATGAGGGCCTCAAGTCTAGATTCGAAAAGAAGGCTAATTTAATTAACTAGAAGACTTAAAGAAATTCGCATCTTTTATTCTGAAGCTAAGGTTCATTGAGCTTAATACTTAGTGGGATGATATTAAAAACTGATCCCTTGACTGTTTGATGAGACTAAGGCCAACAACAAGCCTTATAGCCTCAAACAAGGCCAGGCCCGACTGGATAAGCAATACGTGAAGGGCCCAGGAATATGCCAAAGAGACGGCAATGTAGCATAACAAGCCCAAGAGGCCCATCTCGATGTACTGCCTGTTGCATGCCCATGCTAAACCCTAAATTGACGACAGGGAATGTATGGCGTCAACCAAAAATATCCAAGACTATCATGATTTAAACAGCCTGTTGCAGTTAAACAAAACACTAAACTGAATTTGAAATTCTCAATTAAAGGTACCAAAACCTCATACTAACAGGATACTATGGGAATGCACAACTAGAACAAACTAACTTATGTAAGTTCAACAATCAATCACAAACTGGTTTTAAGAGAACAATTCCGCAGGTGAAAAGACATACTATTACACTATTGATTACGGTATAATTAACAATCTCTTACAGTGATCCCATGGCACACATTGTCCAAATAACCATTTCAGTACCTCGAACCTATATGATGAGAACTTCAATTCATTTGAATACAAACCTCACACTCATACTCCCTCAGAATCAAACTGACAAGTAGACATAGATTCACTTTACGATATTTAGTAACGTGAGAAAGGGCTATACTAAACATGCATAATATAGGATTACGTACTTAATAATACGGAAATAGACGAAATAGTATAAATAAACTCGAAATACAACTTGCATCTCAAGTGTTTCATATTCAAAGTGCAGATTCACATTCACATGTTGTCTATGGTTCCCAAAATATACCTGGAAAACAAAGAAAATAGGAAAAATGAGGGATCAGCAGCAGCAGAGTAGTATCAGCAGCAATATAATAGTGTTTACACAATTGAATCCAACCCAAACTTCCAAAAACCAGCTTCCAGCAGTTCAAACCAAACTTCTAAACCCAGATTAGAGCTAGGTTTCCGCACAGATGCACAACTTTGGAATTATTTTCAGGAAAGTTCTAGAGGAACAAAGATTCAGAGAGCCAAAACCAAGAAACCAAAACCAATTCAAATAATTTTCAACATTTCTAGGAAATTCCAGAAGGAAATCAGTTACTTCTCCAATTCGGTATATTTTTTTCTCTTTTCAGTCTCCCTAGGGTGTAAAAACTGTGTGTTGAGTGAAAAGAAGGCTTCATTTATAAGGCTGAGGGTCTGTTGTGTGCCTTTCAAGGCAAGGCAATCAGATTTTCCCAAAATACCCTCATAGGACATCTTTTAAAACTGATTTTTGGACAGCTGTCCATTTCCTTCAGATATTTTCAATTTGCAGCCTATTTTCCCTAACAATTTTGGGCAGCTGTCCATTTAGGAAGCTTCCCCATCAGTTATTAAAAGATTCTTCAAGTTAAACCAATCTCCAATATTATCCCTAAAGTTCCTAATTATTCACTTACCCCCTAAATTTTGAATTCTCACAATCACAACAAACAGCAAACAAACGAAATGACACCTTCAGCTGGATTGAAAACCAATGAAATTCAAAACAATTGTTGAGTCATATTAAATCATGAAGAATTAGTCTGCTACAAAACCCTACAATGGAACTTTCAGAAATACTAGAAAGCTGACGATTCTAGAACATGCTTGAATGAACCAACAAACACAACTACACCCTAAGATCCTTCACACATAAACATGAACTCAGAAAATGCTCTTGAAACAGGAATTAATGCGGACAATGAGCTATACTTGGCCAATCTCAATGCTTCAGTTCCGAAATTAATTCACAAATATAAACATGAAACCTTGCAGAAAGAAGAAAATCGTACGAATTGAAACCAAGTTCAACTCAAACCCTATGAAACTGGTTGTTATTAACAATCTTGCACAAGTTAACTAATGAACTTAAAACCAGAGACGTAACGCAATTGAACAAGAAACGGACCTTCTGAAGAAAGAACCAGAAAACAAACAAACAAACAAACAAAAGAAAAGATCAAACGGAAAACAATCGACACAAAGAGATTATCCCAAACCTGCTTCAGCAAAATCCCGCATGAACTTGAATAAACCTTTTGAAGAAGAAAGTGAACCTTTTACGGTCATTAATCGATTGTCCTTAACAAAAGACAAATGATTAATGATAGTTTGGGTTCACTCAACCTTGCTGAACCAGAAAAGAACACAAGGCGAGACCTAGGGCATTCCAGACTTCTGCTCTACCATTGAAGAGCTAATTTGACGGGAAACAAGGACATGTTTGGAGCGGGAAATGGGTGAAGGTTTATTCGGGTGAACTCGGGTAGATTTGGGGTTTTAAGATTTTGGATTCAGATCTGTCATTCGAGCATTTGTGGTGGGTTCTAGGGAAGCTGGTCAGAGATTTGGTAAGCGGGCGGTGAGAGGATTCTAAGGTGTGGTTTGGAGGCTGGTCTGAGGCGGCACCGCCGGCGGATATGGTGGAGGTTTCAGGGGCGGCTGACTCTAGGGTTTTGAGAGACAAAGGGATGAAGAGAAGAGTAAGGGGGGGAGTTGACAGGGGTATGGGGGCGTTTGGACACTATTATATGAAAGGGAGTCAAGTTCCCAGCCGTTGGATCATGCAAGATCAACGGCTGGGATATGATCGAACCAAACGGCGCCGTTTTGAACCAGCTACAACGGACCGAGTTTAGGGGGACTGGACTTGGGCGGATGGGTGGAAAAATTTGGGCCTTGGCATATAACTGGCCCAATTCCGGGTCTTGGAATCCAATTTCTCAATTTCCTTTTGTTTCCTTTTTATTTTAGTTCTCTTTTCTCTTCTTTTTTTTTATTTTCAAAATTCTTTTTCTTTTCAAAATTAAAACCTAAATTAATTTCTAAACCAAATTATCCTACCAAATTATATTAATTAATCAAAACAATATTTACAATAATTAATTAATCCCAATATTGAAAGAAACTACAAAATTTAAAGTTAAAAAGTTAAAAATGCAAAATGAGTCATTTTTGTGATTTTAATCATTTTTATGAGACAACTAAATCGCTAATTAACTTAAAAATGTAGAATTAAATCCTAAACGCAAATGCAATATATTTTGTATTTTCATGAATTAAATAAAATAAACATGCACAGACAAATGCAAACAATTAACAACAAATGTTACAAAAATCCACGAAATTGCAAACAATGGGAAAAAAATTTATTTTCTTGAATCTATAGGAGTAATTCATATATTTCAAAATTCACGTGCTCACAAAGTTAAAGATTCATAACTGCATGAGCATCTTATCAATTTGTAGTCTATGGAAATCTCACTCCTGGAATATAATCACGGAATTGTTGGAGGATCTTTGGCAACCTAACAACTTCTCAGTCAATCCAAATAAGAATCTGGATACACAATTCATTAAACATCTCTCACATTTTGTTTTCTTTGATATGATAACGAACTTCTGCAAAACCGTTGCATTCTTTAACAGTAGTTCTGAAAGTTTGAAAAGCTTGTTAAAGCCCCGTCTGATATCTTAACTCAAAGCTTGAAATCCATCTCAGCAGATCAATATTATCTTCTCCGACCGAATATCTTAACTCAAAGCAGCGGAAGGAAATATCATACTGGAGACAGAGAAATTAATCAAGACCAAATGCAGGTCAGCCTTATGGATATTGATGATTTCATTGAAAAAGTGTCCAGCACAGAAAATTCTCAGAAGCAACTAATAATAACAGTACTTTGAAAATGATTATAATGGGTTGTTCCTATCAAAAAGATTCATGGCAGGCAACCCAAGTAAACAATGATAGCTCAACCATCCTTTTCTTTCAGAGCTCATTTGCCACAAAAAAAGAAACAGTACAACACTATCAAAGTGTAGCCTTACAGCGGCTAAAGCAAAGCTTCTCACTGATAAATAAAGGTATATTTGCATTCTCCAACAGAAACAACTTTACGAGGGGGAGGGGGTTGTTAAAACATCATTAAATATAGATATAAAAAGACAAGAAAAAGTTCCAGGAAGTTACAAGCACGTATGCCATGTCTATGTTTGAGTGTCTCCACATGAGGTGAGGCTTGCAAAAGGCCAGCTACTCCATGCAAATTAAAGTTTTGCAAATGCAACTCTATCGTTAGATATCTGCATTTCAATTCTCGAATCGGCAACCCTTTGAACTGCAACATGCACGGGACCTGGTGCAGTAACCCCAATGAAACTAGTAAAGAATGGAGAAAGCAATAACAACGAAAAGAAACTACTTCGCAGGGGAGAGAGAGAGAAAGAGGGAGGGAGAGAGAGATGTGTAACAAATCGAACTGTCTAAACACTCTAAGCAACAACAATATAAAAAAAATCCTCGTTTCTAGATCTACTTTTTGCCAGTATCATAAAATAAATTACTAACTTCAAAAGGTTGACAACAGAATTGATAAAGACGCAAAAGTACACAAGTTTCTGAAATTAGTCCAGTTTGTGTTAGTGAAATTTGTCCAATTGCATTAGCAAAATTTGTCCAAATGATTCTCAATTGTAAAATGTTTACACTCTCCAATTATGCAAAAAATCATCTCAGAATACAAGGAGGGTTGAGTTTTATAGAAAGGTAAGGTAATTTCAATAACTTGACAGCACCATGTGAGTGCTGAATTACTAAAGCTATCTACAACTGAGCAAACACATCTCCGTTTAGCTATGCAGTGCACTTATAAGGTCTAATATTTGATCTTTATTATTTACAGTGTCAAGACCAACAATTCAGAAAATACAAAACAAGCACAGTATATTTAAGGACTTGTGAGTTAAAAATAAACCTCTGTGAACCAACATCCGATTGTTAGCTCAGTTGTGCAACTCAGCTTTTGAAGATAATCTTGGACAAGGGTCCTAAAACCTTGCTGATAACCATGCCAATTGTCTTCTTCATCAACAATTTCACCTTGATCGGCCTGTATGTCTTTGATACATGCAATGTGGAAAGTAAGGTTAGCATTAACCATGGAGGACACATCTATAAGTCTACACTTGATATCTTTAAGATCTCCTGAAATCTCCAAATGCTGAAGATACGGGGCAATAATTTCCAAGGAATGATCATTGTTATCATTAAGCAACCAATGATTTTTCAAATTCAGTCTCTTGAATTTTGAAGAACTAATTTTCAGGCGACGAAAACCCCCAACTTCATATAATTCCATAGTTTCCAGTGCAGGACAGCCTGATAATATGTTTAAAATTTCGTCATCGTTTAACAACAAACACTCCAGCTTTATGCTCGTCAGAGACTTCCTTGCTATGACTGCATCAGTAAAGTACCAATGTCTCAAATGTAATGTTATCAAAGACGAACAGGTGCAGAAAGATTCAGGCAATATGCAATCGAGTAGACTTCCATACGACAAGAATACAACATCTTCCACTTTTCTTTCAGCAGCAAAACTGAGCCATCGTCTAATTTGAGAATCATCTCGAAATAGGTCTTTGCAGTCGAGTTCGAATTTTTTAATTTTGGGAGAAATAGAAATAGAATGAACTAACACAAAGTCAATAAAGGATCGTAGATTTTCAAATTTATGTCTTCTACTAGTATCATCCTTGGGCACTACGGGGTTATACGGATCTCCATAGAATTTTGATTCCTGGCTTCTACGAGTGAAAATGAAATTATAAACAAAAGTCCAAAGATAGTGCCACCTTTTTGAGAGGATAGCATCCTTTGTGGGCAATAAAGAGAGAATTTGAACTAGAAGTGAGTCCGGCAATTGACTGATACGGTCGTCTAGGGTTTCTTCAACGATGGATGATTGATCATACTACTACTACTACTTCTTCTAGAGCCGTCATTTTTTACAGAAGAAGCCATGATTTTGGGTCACGCGCACACCACTTTGGTTTCTTTTAAATCCCGTCTTCCCCACTAATTTTGGTTACTGTAATGCGCCAAAAATAAGTAAAATTCTTTCCCACCCAGTGTAATAGTACCCGACTAATAGGATTTAAAGTCTTTGTCTCGTAGGAAAATTTTCCTAACTACAACTTCTGTTACATTATATCTACAACTATTATTTAATTCACGTTTTGTATAATTTTTTATACAATTAATTATTATTCAGTTTTAAAATCTCTTCTCTCAAAGAATTCCAGAATTTTAACAAATTTAATAAGATTCTCATCATTTCCTAAATTTAAGCCTAACTGAATTGACTACAACCAATAATTTCTTAAAATATCTGTAAATCCCTAAACTTTAGCCTAACCAAATTTACTGCGACTCAAATACAATGAATTCCTTTGGCTTTCATTAAAAATAGGTGAGAAATTATACCATATGTACTATATGTACATTGACTAATAATATATCTTTTTGCACTATTGCATATAACTGATACTATATTGTATACTATTTACATAGTGGTATAGATATATTGTTAATATATTATATAAAGTATATATTTAAATGTATTAATAAATAATAAAATATAATGTATATTTTATACCTAAAACATGCAATATATATACTTGAAGAATTGTATATTATACGTATTATAAATATATTATATACGTTACTAAAAGGTAAGTTTTATAAAGCAGTGGTTAGGTCTGCCATGTTGTATGAGACCGAGTGTTGGCCGGTTAAGAACTCACACATCCAGAAGATAAAAGTAGCAGAGATAAGCATGTTGAGGTGGATGTGCGGGCAAGGATGGATAAGATTAGGAATGAAGATATTCGAGAGAAGGTGGGCGTGGCCCCCATGGAGGACAAGATGCTGGAAGCAAGACTCAGATGGTTCGGGAACATTCAGAGGAGGAGCACTGAGGCACCGGTGAGGAGGTGTGAACGACTGGCTATGGTGGGCACGAGGAGAGGTAAAAGGAGACCTAAGAAGTATTGGGGAGAGGTGATCAGGCAAGACATGACGCGACTTAGGATTACTGAGGACATGGCCCTTGACAAAGAGTTGTGGAGGTCGGGCATTAAGGTTGTAGGTTAGGGGGAAGTTGTGAGTATTTCTACAGCGCACTAAAGTGAGACTAGCCAGTTAGGAGTTAGTCTTAGGATGCTACTGGTCAGCTACTGATGCAAGGCTTTATCTGTTGGATATTATTATATCTTCCATCTTTTTCGCACTTCCTATATTTCTTATATTGCTATTATTTTTACTTTATGTTATGGTATGTTATTTTATCATGAGTCTATTGATAGTACTAATATATCGTCTCTTGTCGCTTTCTTGAGCCGAGGGTCTCCTGGAAACAGTCTCTCTGCCCCTCGGGGTAGGGGTAAGGTCTACGTACATATTACCCTCCCCAGACCCCACTAGTGGGATTATACTGGGTTGTTGTTGTTGTTGTTGTTGTTGTTGTTGTTGTTGTTGTTGTTGTTGTTGTTGTTGTTGTTATATACAATATACTAGAAATATATTATATGTAGTCCTCTTAAATCCAATATTCTTTATATTGTATATAGATAATAGAGCTTTTAAGTATATTCTGTAAATACGTATATTTGTATATGAATAGTGTATCCATATACATTATATGCATATTATGGTATTTAATATATAGTCCTCGTAAATACGATTTTCTTTATATATATGTATATTATACTAAATGTATAGGAATATATTTGTTTGGTTTTTCTTGGTATACTATAAGCATATAAAAATATCTACATATATTACACCAAATTCATACATATATATTTTGGTATTTTTCCTTTAATCCGATACCACATGATTCAACATTATCACTTTCAAATAAAAATGTTGAACCTCATAGAAAAATACTTTTAATATGTCAAAAAGAAATATTTCAATATTATGTCTAGTTTTATTTTCACACCATTATATTAATGATTCATTATTATAGTAGTTATTTTAATATATTTATAACACTAATTTATTTAGTTTGAATTCATTTGAATGGAAATCTGACAATTAAGTGATAGTAGTTATTATACGTTATTTGTTAACGTTTTTATCACATTATCTTATGGGTTACTTTTGTACCAAATTTTGAAATCTGACAATTAATGATAACTATTATATGTTATGGTCTATCACATTGTCTTTGTGATTACTTTTGTAACAGAAAAGTTTTTAATGGATTGCTTTGATTGTTAACGTATTGTTTTCATTAGATTGTGAAGTTTTGGACTATATATACTTTGTTGTTTTTTTGATAGTAGTGAAAATAACAAAGCTAAAAAAATTTCTTCACTTTTCTTTTGTGCTGGGTTTTCTTTTATACAATCTTTGTTGTATCTGCTCCTAGTTATACTAGAAGAGCTTGTTGAATCCTGGGGGATACGCCTAATAATAACTAATCACAGTGTGAGCGAAATATCTTTAAGGACAGTGTCATTGACACGCCTCAAGCTAAACCTTTTATTCTCCATAATCAACCAATATTTTTTACAACAATCTTAAGGATATTTTACATTGTTATTATGGAGAATAACGTTGCTAATGTTGCTGTTGATGCTACTATTTATGCTGCACCAGCTGTTTCTGTTGCTGTTTTTGGTGGAGATAATTTTAACCGCAAGCACGCTGTTGTTAACAAAGGAAAAGAAATTGCTACTAGAAGCAGCCTTGTGGAGGAGAACAACCGTCAGAGAAAATCAAGTAACATGTATGATAAAAGCAATGGTTATATGCACAAACCCAACAATCAAATCTTCAAGGAAAAAGATAACAGCTTTGTGTGTGGCAAACCTGGCCACTCTGTTGCTCAATGCCGAAAAAGGATTGGGAATGACAATCCCACTAAGGCTAAAGTAAATTTGACTGAAGCCAAAGTGGATGATATAATTATTGCGGTTGTTTCCCAAGTGAACCTTGTGGCTAATGTGAAAGATTGGGTGTTAGATTCTGGAGCCACTAGGCACATATGTGCTAACAAAAAAGACTTTGTGTCTTAAACCTAAGTTGAGGAGGGAGAAGAAGTTGCCTATCTTGGTGACTCAAGAACTACTCAAGTTCTTGGAAAAGGCAAAGGTCTTCTCAAACTCACGTCTGACAAAACTTTGGCATTGAATGACGTGTTGCATGTTCCTAGTATCCGAGCCAATTTGATCTCTATGGGATAATTAGGAAAAGTGGGGGTGAATGTTTCTTTTGAATCTGATAAGGTCGTGTTGACCAAGAATAATAATGTTGTTGGCAATGGTTATTATAATCATGGCTTGTTTATATTCAATGTTATCAATGAAAATGCTAGTACTTCTGCTTACTTGATTGATTCTTTTAATTTATGGCATGCGAGATTAGGACATGTTAGTTTATCTTATATTAAGAAAATGCATTCTGAATGTATTATTTCAAATATTAATTTTTTGAATATTGATAAGTGTGAAGTTTGTGCAGAAGCTAAAGAAACTAAGAAATCATGTGCTTCAGTATTTAGAGACTCTGAATTATTAAGTTTAATTCATACTGATTTAGGAGACTTGAAACAAACTATGACTAAAGGAGGGAAAAAATATTATGTGACTTTTTGTAACGACCCGGCCGGTCGTTTAAGACTTAACGCCCTGATCCCCTATTAATTGCTTTCTCCGTATTTGTTTTTGCTATTTTGATTTGCCGAGATGTTTGGTTTTGAGTTTCGGAGTGTTTTGGGACACTTAGTCCCTAAAAGAGAGCTTAAGCTTTAGAATTTGGACCGTAGTCGGAGCAGTGTGAAGACAGACTTGGAATGAAATTATGTCGGTTCTGTTAGCTCCATTGGGTGATTTCAGGCTTAGGGGCGTGTTCGGATTGTGTTTTAGGGGTCCGAAGCTTATTTAGGCTTGAAATGTCAAAAGTTGAATTTTTATGTTCCGGTTCGATAGTGAGATTTTGATATCGGGGTCGGAATGAGATTCCGGAAGTTGGAGTAACTATGTAGTGTTGAATGTGTCATGCTTGCAAAATTTCAGGTCATTCGGACGAGGTTTTATAGACTTTTTGATCGAAAGCGTAATGTGAGAGTTTTTGGAGTTCTTAGGTTTGAATCCGATGTTAAATTGGTGTTTTGACGTTGTTTTGAGCGTTCCAAAGGTTGGAACAAGTTTGAATGATGTTTTATGATTGGTTGGCATGTTTGGTTGAAGTCCCGGGGGCCTTAGGTGTGTTTCGGATGCTCAACAGGTCATTTTTGGGACTTAGAGAATTGCAGAAAAATTGCAACAGGTCAGTTCTGGTTTCCTTCTTCGCGTTTGCGAGTGGGGTCTCGCGTTCGCGAAGAGGAGCTGGGGTTGGTAGGGGTTTAATGCTTCGCGCGCGAAGGTGTTCCCGCATTCGCGGGGCTGTGAGGTCTTATACCTACACGTTCGCGTATGAGGGAAAAGATGGTCATCACGTTCGCGATGAAGGAAGACTGGACCAAGAAGTTGTGCTTTGTGAACGCGGGGGTCCTTCCCCGTTCGCGAAGAAGGAATTGTCTGGGCAGAATATAAAATTTCAAAGTGGGCATTTTTATCAAAACTAGAGCTTGGGAGCTCGAATTTGAGCGAGACTTTGAGGGATTTTCAGAGATATCGATTGGGTAATGATTCTTAAATCCTTTTTGCTTGTAACTCATTAATCTAAACATAAATTCATCATCTAATTTCGGATTTGGAGTGAGAAATTGGGAAAAATTTGGAAAAGTTCTTAGACCTAATTTTCGAGTTTTGATTGGGAATTTGACATTGGATTTAGATAATTTTAGTATGGTTAGACTCGTGAGTGAATGAGGGTTCATAATCAATAAATTTTACCCGATTTCGAGACGTGAGCTCGGGGCATTTTTGTCATTTTACCTAACTTCGCGTATTAACTTAGAATTTATTTGTGGAATCAGCTACTTGTTATACAT